AATAGATCTTTCACTTCCTTGGTTAGAGTTACCCCAAGATATTTTATGCTGTTTGTGGCTATTGTGAAAGGTGAAGCTTCTCTGATTTCCCTCTCTGCTTCCATATCCTTTGTGTATAAGAGGGCGACTGATTTTTTGGAGTTTATCTTGTATCCTGCCACATTACTAAAGGTGTTTATCAGCTGTAAAAGTTCTTTGGTGGAGGTTTTGGGGCCGCTTATATACACTATCATATCATCTGCAAATAACGAAAGGTTAACTTCTTCCTTTCCAATTCGAATCCCTTTGATCCCCTTATGTTGTCTTATTGCTATTGCTAGAACTTCAAGTACTATATTGAAGAGGTATGGTGAGAGTGGACAGCCTTGTCGTGTTCCTGAGTTTAGTGGGATGGCTTTAAGTTTCTCTCCATTTAATTTAATGTTAGCTGTCGGCTTGCTGTATATAGCTTTTATTATATTTAGGTATGACCCTTGTATCCCTAATCTCTCCAAGACTTTTATCATAAAGGGATGTTGAATTTTGTCAAATGCTTTTTCAGCATCTAATGAATTGATCATATGGTTTTTTTCTTTCAGTTTATTTATATGCTGGATTACATTGATAGATTTTCATATGTTGAACCAGCCCTGCATCCCTGGGATGAAGCCTACTTGATCATAATGGATAATTTTCCTAATGTGTTCTTGGATTCGGTTTGCCAGTATTTTGTTGAGGATTTTTGCATCGATGTTCATGAGTGAGATTGGTCTATAATTTTCTTTCTTGGTTGAGTCTTTGTGCGGTTTTGGTATCAGAGTAACTGTAGCTTCATAAAAGGAATTTGGCAATGCCTCTTCTGTTTCTATATTGTGAAATACATTAAGGAGTATAGGTATTAGGTCTTCTTGGAAGTTCTGGTAGAATTCCGCATTGAAACCATCTGGTCCTGGGCTTTTTTTGGTAGGGAGGTTTTTGATAACCTCTTCTAATTCTTCGCGACTAACAGGTCTATTTAGATTGTTCACCTGGTCCTGGTTTAACTTTGGTATATGGTATTTATCTAAAAAAGTGTCCATTTCCTTTACATTTTCCAGTTTTGTGGCATATAGGCTTTTGTAGTAAGATCTAATGATTCTCTGAATTTCCTCTGTGTCTGTGGTTATGTCCCCCTTTTCATTTCTGATCTTATTAATTTGCAAATTCTCTCTCTGCCGTTTGATTAGTTTGGATAGGGGTTTGTCAATCTTGTTGATTTTCTCCAGAAACCAGCTTTTTGTTTCATTGATTCTTTGTATTGTTTTCTGTGTTTCTATTTTGTTGATTTCAGCCCTCAGTTTGATTATTTCCAGTCTTCTACTCCTCCTAGGTGAGTCTGCTTCTTTTTTTTCTAGAGCTTTCAGTTGGGCTGTTAAGTCTCCAATGTGAGCTTTCTCTGTTTTCTTTAAGTGGGCACTTAGTGCTATGAACTTTCCTCTTAGGACTGCTTTCATAGTGTCCCATAAGTTTAAGTATGTTGTTTCTTTATTTTCATTGAATTCCAGGAAGACTTTAATTTCTTTCTTAATTTCTTCCTTAATCCAGGTATGGTTCAGTAGTTGACTGTTCAGTTTCCATGAGTTTGTAGGCTTTTTGGGGGTAGCATTGTTGTTGAATTCTAACTTTAATCCATGGTGATCTGATAAGACACAGGTGGTTACTAATATTTTTTTGTAAGTGTGGATGTTTGCTTTGTTACCGACTATGTGGTCGATTTTTGAGAAGGTTCCATGAGCTGCAGAGAAGAAGGTATATTCTTTCCTATTTGGGTGGAATGTTCTATAGATGTCTGTTAAGTCCATTTGATTCATTACCTCCATTAATTCTCTTGTTTCTCTGTTAGGTTTCTGTCTGTTTGACCTGTCCATTGGTGAGAGAGGAGTGTTGAAGTCTCCTACTATTAGTGTGTGCGGTTTGATGGCTGCCTTGACTTTTAGCAATGTTTCTTTTATGTACGTGGGTGCTTTTAAATTAGGGGCATAGATGTTCAGAATTGAGACTTCATCCTGCTGAACTGTTCCTGTTATGAGTATAAAATGCCCCTCTCCATCTCTTCTGATTGATTTAAGTTTGAAGTGGCCACACCTGCTTGTTTCTTAGGTCCATTTGCTTGATAAGCCTTTTCCCAGCCCTTTACTCTGAGTAGGTGCCTGTCTTTGTGGTTGAGGTGGGTTTCTTGTAAACAGCAGAATGTTGGATCCTGTTTTCGTATCCAATCTCTTAGCCTGTGCCTTTTAATAGGTGAGTTGAGTCCATTGACATTAAGTGATATTAATGACCAGTGGATGTTAACGCCGGTCATTTTTTTAGTCGTAGAGTTTGTGTGTTTCCCTTCTTTGATTTGTGTTGGTGAAGGGTCTCTAGATGTCTGAGTTATTGTGGTCATTGTTGGACTCCTTGGTTAGTGATTTTCCTTCTATTACTTTCTGTAAGGCTGGATTTGTGGCTGCGTATTGTTTGAATTTGTTTTTATCCTGGAAAATTTTATTTTCTCCATTTATAGTGAACGAAAGCTTGGCTGGCTATAGTAATCTGGGCTTGCATCCATGGTCTCTTAGTTTCTGAAGTACATCTATCCAGGACCTTCTGGCTTTCATGGTTTCCATGGAGAAGTCAGGTGTAAGTCTGATAGGTTTACCTTTATAAGTAATTTGGCCTTTTTCCTTTGCAGCTCTTAATATTCTTTCCTTATTCTGTATGCTTTGTGTTTTGATAATTATATGGCGAGGGGATGTTCTTTTTTGATCCAGCCTATTCGGTGTTCTGTATGCTTCTTGAACCTTCATAGTTATATCTTTTTTTAGGTTGGGAAAGTTTTCTTCTATAATTTTATTAAATATATTTTCTGGACCATTGAGCTGCACTTCTTCTTCTACTCCTATTATTCTTAGGTTTGGTCTTTTTATTGTGTCCCATATTTCCTGAATATTTTGTGATGAGAGTTTGTTGGACTTGCTGTTTTCTTTGATCAGAGTGTTTATTTTCTCTATGGTATCTTCAGAATCTGAGATTCTTTCTTCTATCTCTTGTATTCTGTTGGTTATGCTTGTTTCTGTAGACTCTGTTTGTTTACTTAAATTTTCCATGTCCAGCCGGCCCTCTGTTTGTGTTTTCTTCTTTGCCTCCATTTCAGTTTTCACGTCTTGCCCCGTTTCCATTATCTGTTTGATTGTTTTTCCGTGGTTTTCTAGGGTATCATTCACTGATTTATTCAGTTCTTCAAACTTTCTGTTATATTTCTCATCCATTTCTATAAGGGCATTTTTTACATGCTGTTTAAGGGTGTCAATCACTTTCATGAAGTCAACCTTTTCTACTTCTTCTTGATTAAGGTGTTCATGACCTCCCGTTGTGAGGTCGCTGGTTTCTGGTGGCTACATGTTGCTTTTCAGCTTGTTGGGCGAATTCTTGCCTTGGCGTCTACCCATCTCTTCTTCCAAATGCTCCCTTATGGATCTTCTTTACCGGATCAGGTCTCCTTGCCTACCCAATGCTGGATCTCCCCAACGTTGTCTCTCCCCAATGCTGGGTCTCCCCAAGGCTGGGTCTCCTGGCGCCGAGAGATCAGGCCTCCATGCTGATGGGCAGGTGGCAAACAAAGCGCCTACCCTGCTTGGTGCAGGCAGGCCAAAGAAACAAAGGAACTCCCGCCTGCTTGGTTGCCCCAATGATTCGGACCCAGTGCCCAGACAGGCTGGGCTGGGTGATATTATGTGCAGAAAGAGGGCGGTGGGGCAAATTGGGGAGGGTTCTGGATGGAAGCTGGGTGGGCTAGGAAGAAAGAGGAGGTATGCAGGGAGTGCGGGCCCTGCCGAGAGCTCAAGAAGGATAGGGGGCCAAGGAAGCTCTGAACTCCCCTTCAGGGGCTGGCGCCGCAGGGTCAGAAACTCACCCCAACGCTGGGTCTCCTGGCGCATAGAGATCAGGCCTCCGTGCTGGTGGGCAGGTTGCAAACAAAGCGCCTACCCTGCTTGGTGCAGGCAGGCCATAGAAACAAAGAGACTCCCGCCCGCTTGGGTGCCCCGAGGATTCGGAACCAGTGCCCAGACAGGCTGGGCTGGGTGATGTTATTTGCAGAAAGAGGACAATGGGGCCGAGGTGGGGAGGGTTCTGGATGGGAGCTGGGTGGGCTAGGAAGAAAGAGGAGGTATGCAGGGAGTGGGGGCCCTGCCGAGAGCTCAGGAAGGATAGGGGGCCAAGGAAGCTCTGAACTCCCCTTCCCGGGCTGGCGCCGCAGGGTCAGAAACTCACCCCAATGCTGGGTCTCCTCTCATTCTGGAATTTTAAAATCTGTGTTATACATAATCCTCATGTGGAGATTTTCCTGTGTCATATACCAGTAGTTACATATTTTTACTATATTTTTTCCTCAGTTTCAGTATCTACAAGTAAACTTTAATTATTTCCCTGAATTTTAGGCAGTACCAGAATGTTTTTAAGTGCATGAAATCCCAAAAAGGAAACTATGCTGGAATAAGAATTTGGATATGCAGGGTTCTGCTTGAGATCCTGATAGTTACATTGTCACAGGGTCACAAGAGTGAGCTTTCATTTATTTATTTTTAAAGATTGGATTTCATGAAGTCAAGAATGGTTGTGAACTTGAAATGTAATTGAGAATGACTCTGAGCTTCTGATTCTCTTGTCTCCACCTTTTAAATGCTGAGATTCTAGGCATCCATATCTTGTAAATATGGTGCAAGGATGAAACCCAGGTCTCATGCATGCTGGGTGAGCGCTCTACCAACTGAGCTTCATTCCCAGCACTGACTTTTGTTCTTGGAATGATACCTGGTATGATGGCTTGAGTATTGGACACTATAAATTATCACCTTGCTTTTTAGAATATTTTTCACGTCTTATTTTTTTTTTGATAGTCCTAACTCACAACATTCTCATGTATGTAAGTTTTAGAAGTGATGAATACATTTGAACATAAGACCAAATTTTACATTTTTTAAAAGGAATGTTTTTATTTCCAGTGCGCAGAGAAATTGATACTCTTAATGAACGCTTAGCTGGTGAAGGACAAGCCATTGATGGGGCAGAATTGAGTAAGGGCCAGCTCAAAACAAAAGGTAAAATAAATGCTTGTAAAGTATTGTGTGTGTGTGTATTATAATATATATATATATATATATATATATTATATATGTGTATTACTTATCAAGGGAACGGGGATCTAATGGAGGACACTGACTCCTTTGCTGTCTGCTGTCAGCCAGACTTGGAATGCATAATTCAGATGTAGGTCACATAACAGAGTTTGGGTCCCTCTTCCAGCTCTTCTGTTTGTGACTTGATGGGGTCACAGATCTGAGTTTCCCTTTCTTCAGCATAGCTGCACTTTGTAATGCTGCGGTTCTTGAGTTTAAGGGTATTTGATTGTCAGTTCTCTGTCTCCACAGCCAGTCACAGTACCAGTCAGCTTTCTCAGAAGCTAAAGACCACCTACAAAGCTTCCACCAGCAAGGTATGCAAGGCACTGGCTCTCGAGCCAGTCATGTGGTGCTTACGGTGTGCAGATGTGTACTTTAACTTGCATATTTTCCAGTTAGAAATGTGTAATAGAAAAATGTCTGGCTTCTAGACGCAACCAATGCTAACTGGCTGTAGTAAGTATATAGATGCTTAGATACTAACTTCAGTGAGATCAATATATTGTGCATTAGTAATTTTTTGTCTTTAGAAAAACAATATATTTTTTATTGTTAATTGGCTTGTTAAAAAGTATATGGATTCAGAGAGATAGGTTATAGATAACTTTATGGAGTGAAATTCTATTTGGGCTAAAGTTACATTTTCATTATTTTTCAATTTTCTAAGTATAAGAAGGAGGTGAGCATGTGCTTCTGAGCCATCTACGGGCAGTCATGAGTTTTCCTAGTAAAGTGCCTCATACTGACTTGAAGTGCAAGGATTTAATTGTTTGGAAAGTTATTGTATATTATTCATTATACATCTCTAGTTTGGAGTATTTTGAGTATGTAAAAGGTAAATTAATTCCCTAACTTTGGTGAATGCTTCTTGGGTTAAATGTGAGGATAAAAATTGAAATTTGTACTACAATTTCCATAAATAATCACCAGCTTTTATTTTTACAATCCATTGTCTTGGGCTTACAGCCATTTATTTGGCAGGAACAGTGTGGTTAATTGTCACTAAGAGGGGAAGTCTAGCCTTTCTGCCTTCTCTCCTTATTTAAAAATTCTTGGTAATTATTATTTAGAAGAGAACATGAGTATTGTTGATATATTCTACTGTGTACTTAGATAACATCTGGAATGTAAATTGCTGTTTCATTGGATTTTTGTTTGTTGTAATGTCTAGTTCACCCTAGTTTTGAAATTTGTAATTAACTTGTCTTTCTTTAAAATGAAGTATAAAATTATGTTCTTCACTTCTTGTTACATTTTCTTGAATTAAATAGATTATTCTGATGCTTAGAATTCTGTGTATACAATGTGTGATCTTAGGATTCAAAACTTTCTGGTTATTTCTGAAGTAGAGGAAGATATATATATAGCAGTCTTATCATGAGCAATAAAAACAAGGTTTGGACAAAGGTAAGGGCATGCACAATAGTATTTTGCTTACAAAATATACTAGAACTATTTAACAGCAGTCATTTTAGGATTAGAATATGTCAGAAGCTTATTCCTAATGGACTTTACAGCACTTTGTACACTGTATGTACTCATCTTAAAAATAATGAAACACAAGACATCTGAACATTGAAGAAATACTTTGGTAACGATATATTCTGATTTGTACCACAGCATGGATTCTTGGTATTAAAGCTAAGCACGAATGCAACAAGAACATGCTACAGTCTAGATTCATTACTTGCTCTCCTTGTGACTCAGAGCCATGAAAGGCAAGTAGCATGTTTGGTGAGACAGTGGGAGTGCAGAGGTGTATGAAGTAAACCTGGAGAGGTTTTATTCCTTCCCTGGGCTGCTCATGACTGATTGCTGCTGCTTATGGGGTGGGGTCAGGGCAAGACAGTCTACCTGAAACCCATGGAGATGTTTGCAAATATTCTTTAGAAAGTTTTTTTTTTGTTTGTTTTTTTTTTTTTGTTTTTCGAGACAGGGTTTCTCTGTGGCTTTGGAGCCTGTCCTGGAACTAGCTCTTGTAGACCAGGCTGGTCTCAAACTCACAGAGATCCACCTGCCTCTGCCTCCCGAGTGCTGGGATTAAAGGCGTGCGCCACCACCGCCCGGCTAAGTTTTTTTTTTTTTTTTTTTTTTTTTTTTTTTTTTTGTAGTAGAAAGGGTCTTTCTAATTTGTTCTTAACATACTTTAGGTTGTGTTGTAGTTAAAATGATTTAAGATGATGGAGAAAACATTGTGTCATTATTTTATTAATCTGCTGTTGTTCATTCAGTTGAATTTCTTTATAATCTTGGCCAAGTCAGGTTTTTTGTTTTTTTAAAAAAAAATAGAGGCAGGGTCTCTCTATGTTGTCCTGGCTGTCCTGGAACTCACCATATGGACAAGGCTGGCATAGAACTAATAGAGATTCTCCTGTCTCTGTTTCCTGAGTGTTGGAATTAAAGGCATGCACCACCATGCCTGGCTGAAGTCAGTGTTTGGTTTTGTTTTTGAAGCATAGTGAGCACTATGGAAGTGGCATGTGAGATGGTATGCCACGGTGTTCATGAGAAGCTTATTATTGTATTCCCATGGTAGTGACTCTTCCATTCTACCTTGTGAATGAGTAGGTAAGAAATGTGGCTCAGTAGTTTCTCATAATAGTATTCTTTATATTAGAAATGTTGAGAGATTTGGAAGATGAATCACAACTTAAGGGTGGTGGCAAATTTTGTATGGTCTGTAACTTCTCTCCCCCTAAAATGTAATGCTATTTGGCATCTCGGTGGTACTTTCTGTAAGTACAAGCTTACATATAATGTAGAGGGATACTTTTGCTGATTATAGGAGGGAGACCAGCTTTTAGAATGATAAGATGGCAATAATGGGTTTGAGATTTGAACTAGTCATTTTCTATTTTCTGTAAAACTTAAACCAAGTTAAATAGAATTGACTTTTATTATTTGTAAAATTTCAGTCTCTTAACTAAGCATTTTGTTTTTGTTTTTACTGTGTCGGGGATAATTTGAAAGCATATTCCTAATTAATGTAACAGATTATGACTGCATATGTATATGTAAGAGTAAATTTATATACATGTCCTAGGCTTTGCGGAATCATTGTTAAAAGCAAGCTGTATGAATCCATTCATTTTTGTTTTCATTTTTTTGCTTGATTTATATATTTTTTATTTATATTTTTCCAGATTTACTTAAAAGTTGGAATGTTTTCATTTATCTCAGTGCAGCTTCATGACCAAAGTTTAAAGAAATCTTTGCATTTATTTCTTCCTCACTTTATAGTCTTCATTACAAGGGAAATGAGAATTGTTGTGTGTGTCATTATATGGACCAGTACCTTACTGTGTGTTTCTCATCTGTATCATTTCATGTCTGTTTCCCATTAGAATATGAGCTTCTTAAAGGCCTTTGTATCTCCCAGCTCTGTCTCCATCTAGCATGGCACGTGGTTTCCAGCAAGTGCTCAATAAACAATCTTTAACAAACCTCCTCATCTGCTACAAGTGTGGTCATTTGATTCCTCTTACAGCCTGGGCTTTTTTGTTTTGATATTTGGTTGGTGTAAACTGATCAAATTCAGGAAAAAAAAATGGAAGTTCTTCTGTAAACACATGCTTTAATGTTAGTAGTTTGGGGTATGTTTTTCTCAACTTTTTCATTTCTGTTTCTCTCTCTGTCTCTCTGTCTGGTCCCTGTTTCTCTGTCTCTGTCTGGGCACTGTCTGTCTATCTCTCTCTTTGTGTGTATATGTGTGTTTTAAAGATGGAGAGTTTTGTTTGGTGATTGAGGTTTGGGGAAGAGTGACTTGCAAGGCCCACCTTCTTCTGTGCCTTCTTCACAGTGAGACATTATCTAGATAAGAATCTACTAGTGGAGTGGGAGAATTTTCTGCAGCCTCTGATAATGAGCACAGTGAAAACAGCTGTATTGTGTGCGGCAGCTCCTTCTGTTCATGCTTGTATTATATTCCATTAGTGGTTACAATATTCTCTTAAATTACTTACACATCTTTCTGCTATTTTGCCTTTTTTTAGCTTCGAGAAATTAAATTCAGTGTTTAAAAGTGCTTCTTTTCTTCTTAATTTAGATTGTCTCCAGCTTTAAGACTACCACATCAAGGGCCATCTGCCAGCTTGTGAAGGAGTATATTGGCCACAGGGATGGCATCTGGGATGTCAGTGTTGCAAGGACACAGCCTGTGGTTCTTGGGACAGCGTCTGCTGGTGAGCCAGACACTGTTGGCAGCTGGCTTATAAGATATGGCTTTGATTGAAATCTCATGGAAGTGACTTACAGTTAGCAGTGGCAGAATAGTTCCTGGAAACAAAAACATGCTGGAAGAGTTATTGAAACCGAAGCTTTGGATCCAGGTTTGGTGGTATATGCTAAAGTCCCAGCACTCAGGGTAGAGGTAGGAGGACCTCAAGTTCCAGGCCAGCATGGACTGTGTGATATAAAGCCGTGTCACATTGTCTCTCAAACAAAAATGAAATTAAGAGGAAAGAAGGGAAAAGAAAAGGAAAACCCTTTGCCTTGGCATGGGAGCACCCACTTCTGAGACCTGTAGTCTTCCTTTGCAGTAGTCCCGTGGGTGAATGTCACGGCTAAGGCTGGGCTAATGTTTTTAAGGAAGGAGAGACTTGGCTCCAACTAGTTATGTGAGAGTGTCTTATCTGAATGGTCGACACAGCATAGGCGAGATAGTTTTTAAACATTAGATATTTTTTTGATTGGCTTTGTTTTTGTTCAAGCCAGATGTGCTTCTGATTTGGGGACAGGTTTGTCATTTTTCTTCTAGCAGTCAAGGGGAAGTTTCTGCTAGCAACTGAAAAATGCATATTCTCTAGACTGTTGAGTTGTCACAGGAGGCTGCTCTTCAGGGGAGGATGTTCTTCGGGGGTCACAGGGTAGGTTTCACCACTAACAGGATAATTCATGAAAGTTTCTTCAGATATAAATGATAATTGGTTGTTGAAAATGACTTTCTTAGCTTATGAGAAGTTCCTTTCTCATTAGATTCTCTCTCTCTCTTTTTTTTTTTGTTTTGCATTTTGAGAAAGGGTTTCACTATGTAGCTCTGTGGAACTTGCTCTAAAGACCAGGCTGGCTTTGAACTCACATAGATTTGCCTGCTTCTGCTGCCCAAGTCCTGGGATTAATGGAGTCCATCACCACCACCTGGCCTGGATTCTTATTTTTAAAAGTAAAAGACACAGGAAACCTAGTTAGAGTGTTGAGAGTGTCTTTGCCTGTTTGTAGTTGTAGCCATACTAAAATATCTTGGATGATTTGAAAGTATTATAAAAAGGAGTGACTTCTAATGATTCTGAAATTTCCTTTGGATAATTGACTACTATTTCATTTTAGAATTTTCTTTAATTCCCCCCCCCCCCCAATGCTTATGAGAAGAAAAGGTCCAAAGGGACAGCCATCATTTCATATAATTTGACTGAATTGGAGGCGAATTGACTTTGAGAATCACAGGTGTTCTGGAAGGCTCTGGTTTTAGGAGAAGATAATAGACCTGTGATGACGTCTGCATGCCAGTTTCACACGTGATGGCCTCGGTGTCATAGTCCACTAGGATGTCAAGTCCAGTTGTCCTTTCTAGTTTCGTGGCTTCAGACAAGTCACAACACTTTGGGATAATTGAATTGTACAAAGTAGTAGAATCAAAGTTGCAAGAACTGTTCGGGGGACTGGAGAGATGACTCGGGTAAAAACACTGGCTGTTCTTCCAGAGACCCCAGTTTGAGTTCTGATTTTCAACACTCACATGGTGCCTCCCAGCTGTTCTTAACTCTAGTCCCAATGGATCCAGAACCCTCGCCTATCCTTCAAGGGTACACAGACATACACGCAGGCAAAAATGTCCATACACATAAATAAAACTAAATTAAAAATACCTATTAGGGCTATATGACAACATTTTTAGAATAGTATTGTATTTTTTAAGAGACTGTAAAATTAGTGATGGCTAAGTTCTGACATCTTTGTCTTTTTAGATCATACGGCTTTGCTGTGGAGCATAGAGACGGGCAGATGTCTTGTCAAATATGCCGGCCATATGGGCTCAGGTAAGCATTTACCTAAAGGGGCACAGCATCAGAAGCTGGGTTTCTTTGGTGCCTTTTTAGTTTTCTTCATAATACTGTCTATATTGGTAGAAAGTTTTATACTTGATATAAAATTTTAATATTTTGGTGGGTGGGGGACAGTGTGATGCAGTCAGAGTAGATAAGCTTTACCTTGTATGAGTAATACAGGGAAAAGACAGCTGTGCTATGTGTTAGTCTTCATTGTGTAACTTTATAATTATTTGTTAATGCTTAATAGTTTGGTCAGGCAAAGTAAAGGCTGCTCCCACAGCCTGTGTTTGGATCTGCAGTTTCTATTCTACAGTAGCTCTCTCCCGCCTCTTCAGTGAATCCTGGGTGTTAACAATGTTTTGATCAAATTTCATTTTTACATTTTTCTTCCAAACATTTGTAAATTTCTTCCACCTAGAATGTCTTCATCCAGTCTCTGTGCAGGGCTGCCTACCAGTTCATTCCCCTCCTTTGCTAGCTCCCTTGTTCCCTTAGCGTTGATAGATAGTCTTGTTATTGGGCACTTAGGTCAGGAGTGTGTGATTTCTTCTCTGCTGTGCCTGTGACCATCCTAACAGTTCATAGAAATCAACAGGACAGAGGCTAGAACATAATGTGAGTTTAGGGAAGGGACTTGGGCTCCTGTTGCCTCCATTCTCTTACAGAAACTTCTTCTTTTCCTTCCTTCTTTAACTTCTTCCTTCCCTCCCTCCTGCTTTTTTTTGTTGGTGCTAAGTTTAACCTGAAAAAAACAGGGTTCAAAGATCCTCAGTTTTGAAAGAGTCTTCCTTTTTTTTGATATGTAATATTCCCACTCATTTCAGTCCTGAGATTTTTAGTCCCTGGAGCCATTCCTTTGGTCTTTTACATAGAGTGGAAGCCTCTTGTTTTTGGAGGTCAGTTTCAGATGGACTCCTGCATGTTGTTAAAACACAATAATTCTCCCAGTGGAGAAAAGGTGACAGTCTGGTAGCCAAAGAGAGGGACACAGTGTGTGTCTTTTGAGAACATCTCTGCTTATGTTGGAGTTCGGCTTAGGCTCACATTTATAGACTCAACCTCACCTTTAGCTTGTGCTAAGCACACCCATGAATGAATCTTTATTTAACTCAGCACCTTCCTGACCATCTTGGTGGTCTCCTCTAAGGCTAGGCCTCTGAATCTTAGCCTCTCCCCCACCTCCTCTCTTTTTTAGCACCTTCTCTCCCTTTACAGTATTAACATTGTCATACAATAGCAAGCTGTTCCTGCTGCTGTTTATCTCTTGTCCCTTTCTTATTAGTCTGTTCTTTCTTAGTTTATAAATACAGTGCCCCAAATATAGTACTAGGAACTCAAAAATATGATAAAATTTTGTAGAACAAGTGGTACAGTCTCCATGCTTTTAAAAGAAAGATGTATATATTTTTATTTTATGTGTATTATTTTTGCCTGAAAATTTATATGCACCATATGTGTGCCTGGTGCTGAGAAGTCAGAAGAGGGTGTTGGATCTATTGGAACTAGAGTTTTAACAGATTGTAAGCAGCCATGTTGATGCTGGGAGCCGAGCCTGAATTTTCTATAAAAACAGTAAGAATTCTTAACCACTAAGTCGTCTTTCCAGCCCATTTACCCCTGGTTTATTTTTAAAATAAATTTGCTTAATTTTAGCATTATAACATTTATTACTTATAAGAAAATAACATTTTTCACCAGCTCTTTTATATTATTTATTTCAGTATTGAAAGTAAATAGAATTCTCTCTTTTTTATGTAGCTTCTTAGTAAAACATAATTTTAAAGGCATAGCTAACAAAATTGTACTAATGGATAATTTTTTTGAAATTTGGCAAATTCTCAAACTGTCAGAGTTTTTTAAAATTTATAACTAACTTGTAATACAATAGCTAATAAATATTGATGACATGGTTTGTTATCTTAAGCCTGTTTTTTTAATATTTTGTTTTGCAGTAAATTCTATAAAATTTCATCCCTCAGAGCAGTTGGCTCTTACTGGTATGTTTGTTTTTCCTTTCTTGAATGAAATTATTAGTAATCTTAAAACAGCTGTAAATTTTGTATTCTTTTGTTAGTACTATCAGAATTATCCATAGCACTTACAAAAGTTAGACAATCTTTAGTAGACATTTTATGAACTATTTCCATTCCTTTCTAGGTAATTTACCTAAGCTGCAGTAGCTTGTGTATGTTATGTTTTAGACTGGCTTTAAGAACATAGCTTGATTTACTGCTTTTAGAAGGTAGCCTTTTTAGAAAAAAAAATTTATTTATTTTTGTGTACAACATTCCTTCCATGTGTGCCCGCATGCCCGAAGGGGGCACCAGATCTCATTATAGATGGCTGTGAGCCACCATGTAGTTGCTGGGAATTGAACTCAGGAACTCTGGAAGAGCAGTCAGTGCTCTTAACCACTGAGCCAGCTCTCCAGCCCGAAGGTAGCCTTTTGAACTGAGGATTATTTCTACAAAATTGTCAGGCCACTGTGGAGTCATATGTTTTGGGGTACAGGCTATAATCTTGGAGAGTATGTGTTAGCTTTGGTGGGCCAGAGGTTGTCATGCTTCTGAAAAAGACCAGTTAGTAAGTATATTGTCTTTGACAGATTGTATGACGTCTGTCCCTGCTTTGTCCTGTTTTTATAGCATGAAAGTGTGTCTCTGTAGGAGGTGATGAGACATGACAGTTTATTTACAGAAATGGCCCAGATTGTGCCGACCCAGGGTAGAGTATGCATGTTGAGATGACACAGTGCTCTGTGCAGGTGGAAGGTTTAAGAGGGAGCCCAACATGAGTACTTTTAATGAGCAAGACTTTTCAGACGTGATGGGAAGCTTACTCTAAATAATTTCCCAGTCTTTGATGATCATATCTTATTACATAATATGTGAGGAGTTGAGGTGGGGAAGACACTGAAGGTTTATTGTTTGATTGGTAGAGAGGAAAGACACTAGGAGTATGGAAGTTGGATATGTCTAGATATAAACCAAAGGCTTAGAAAGGAGAAGCGAAACCAAGTGACATCTAAGAAAAAAATTAGACTGCAGTTTTTATATAGTGCTGATTTGAAGAGAAACTGGCAATTGCCAATCAGTTGATTTTGGCCATAACAAATGCACTATCAGCTCATGGAAACTTCTTTAGGTAAGTTTTGCAGCAGTGAAGACAGATGGAAAGCAGACCACTTAGGAGAGGGCTGAGAATACCACTCAGGAGTCTAAGAGGGCCTTCAGTGCCCTGGGTGGCTGTTCTTTGTCTTCCACTCCTGATGAGAACATTTTCTTATAAATTTATGCTAGAAAGAAGAGGAATATGAAAGCAACACAAATAAGTAATGCTAATAGTAACATGATAAGTAAAACATATTGTTAAGTCCTACTAATGATGAATGGATGCAGGTATCATTCCCTTTCCTGATGAATGGATGCAGGTATCATTCCCTTTCCCGAAACATCTCAGGCTGTTGTAGTCACAAATGTAATGCAATAGAATACTTAATACATAGATTAAAAATAAACTCTTTATAATTATTCTCCTTAAATATAGAGAATTTAAGAAAACATATTTTCTTAAATATTTCTCTAAATATAGAGAAATCAAAGTTTCTCTAAGGTAAAAGAGGAAATATTTTCTTTAGTAATTGTAACCCTAATTTTGTATATTGTTCTATTCTTAATAGCCTTGTACAGTCTGAAATCATTATTTAAATAAAGTATATTTATTTTGCTAAATGATCACTAAGTTAGAAAAGCATGATTGATGTTTGGCCACAGTGTAGGAAAGAGCACATTTTATGCATGTTTTGCCTGGTGGATAATCTTCCCCCATTTGTCTCTTCAGCTTCTGGAGATCAGACTGCTCATATTTGGAGATACGTGGTACAGCTTCCAACACCTCAGCCTGTTGCCGATACTAGCGTAAGCATGTTTAGTTACTCTGACAGCTAACTGTTGGTCTGCTCATGCATGACTCTGGATGTTTGCAAATTTTAGAATAAGCTGATAGTGTCTGGTGTGGTTGGATGTGGCGTAACTGACCTACGTTTAAATGATTAGTGTAGACGTGAACTGTGAATTTAATCAGCCACCCCAGCAGACACTGGGAGCAGAGAAGAGTTGTATTGCTATGGGTAAGGAACAGAGCATAGGTGACATGGAGGAAGACTGCCAGAGTGCTGGGGTTCTCGTAAGCACCAGGAAGTGGAACTGCCTGGCTATAAATACGTGTCTTCCTTTGGATAAGGGACCAAGGATTTGAAAGTGATTTGGAAATTGCCATAGGCCTGATGTTGGCTTCTCCTCATATCAAAGGGCAGGCTTCTTGGTTTTCATCCTCCCTACTTCTCTGCTTCATTTTCTTCTTTTCTATCCCTCTTTTTTCTTTTTAACAGACATGATTTAATTGTAACCCAACCCAAGCTGTCCTTGAATTTGCATTTTCCCTCAGCTTCACTAGAGCATGGCCTCTCTTTGGTTTGGGGCCATGGGGATTGGGGGACAGAGTGCCACAGCTCAGTGCCGTAGCAAGGATGGGACTGCTCAGCTAGCTGTCATGGTGAGGAAGCTTCCTTAGTGGTTCTAAAAGGTAAAGAATGGAGCCTAAGAGGATCATTGTTGGCTTAAGATCTAATGGAATCTGCTTGACTAGATTTGGGGTTTGAAACCTGTTTTTCTTCCCTCCTTTTCTTTTGCTCCCTTTTGGAATAGAATTACTTGTCCTGTACTTCTGCAGTATTGTATTTTGAATAAATATAGCTTGTTTGTTTTCTGTGGTCTATAGCTCGTTAGGATTTTTGCCTGGGGATAAATTATACCTTGATTCTCATGTAGACCTCCCATTTTTTTTTGTAATATTATCTGTCTGTCTATCTGTCTGTCTGTCTGTCTGTCTGTCTGTCTATGGGTGCTGGGAATTGAACTCCGATTCTCTGGAAGAGCAGTACATGCTCTTAAACACTGAGCCATCTCTCTAGCCCCAGAGCTCCCGATTTAAATGGGATTTTGTTAAAACTGTACTTTAGATTGAGAGTTAATGTTGGAATGAGCTGATGTCTAGGGATAGAATGAATGTATTTTCCAGTGTAGAAAGGTGTAATTTGGAGGCCCAGCTTAGAATGTTATGGTTGTGATTTATGTCATCCCCAAATTTGTATGCTAATGTGGCTTTAATTAGAATTAATACCTTTAAGAAAGTAGTCCAAGTTTAATGAGACCATAGGGTAGGACCCTGATCTGATAATAGTATTGTCCTTAAGATACCAGAGGGACTGCTTTCTATTCTCTCCATTACATGAAAGGCAGCTGTTCACCAGGTGGGAAAAGCCCTTCTATCAGAAAGTAAACTGGTTGGTACCTTTATAATGGACTTCTGCTCTCCAGAATTAACTAGTCATTTCACCTTCTAAAACATGAGGTTTTGGAGCCTTTTTTGAGCCTTTTTTCTATGGTCTCTCCAATGGAACACATGTTTAACATTACACATGGCCCAAACTATACATATGATCTTGACACTCAAATGCTTTCCTCTGTGTTGCTTGTCTGAGGAGGTCGCTCCATCCTATATCTGGGTGTTCATTTCTTACTATCTTTTTTTTTTTTTTTTTAAGCAAAAGTCTATTTTGCTCACTGTTGTAGGTCAGTAGTCTGGTTAGTTAACACACCTGTCATGAAGTTTGGAATTCTCTGTGACACACTCTTTTGTCTCCCTGCTCTGTTCCTAGCTATTCCATGAAATCTTTTGTTTGTTTTTATTACTTTAAAAATAACACCAATCAAAATTCCCACTTCCTCCCCTCCTCCCACTTCCCTCCCACTCCCCCCATCCTCCCTCCACCGCCCTCCAGTCCTAAGAGAGGGCAAGGCACCCTGCCCTGTGGGAAGTCCAAGGCCCTCCCCACTACATTCAGGCTGAGCAAGGTATGTATCCAATGAGAATAGGATCACAAAAAGCTAGTACATGCAGTAGAGACAAATCCCAGTGCCATTGTCCTTGGCCCCTCAGTCTGCCCCAACTGTCAACCACATTCAGAGGGACCAGTTTTGATCCCATGCTTGTTCATTCTCAGTCCAGCTGGAGTTGGTGAAAGCTCCCATTAGCTCAGGCACACTGTCTCAGTGGGTGGACCAACCCCTCGTGGTCCTGACTTCCTTGCTCATATTCTCCCTCCTTCCGCTCTTCAACAGGACCTTGGGAGCTCAGTCCAGTGATCCAGTGTGGGTCTCTGTCTCCATCCATCGCCGGACAAAGGTTCTATGATGATATTCAAGATAGTCATTAGTCTGTCTATGGGACAAGGCCAGTTAAGGTACCCTCTCTTCCACTGTCCAGGGTCCTAGGTGGGGTCATCCCCGTGGACTCCAGGGAACCCTCCAGAGCCAAGCCTCTTGCCAACCCCCAAATGGCTCCCTTAATTAAAATATCTTCTTCCCTGCTCCCATATCTGTCCTTCCTCTATCTCAACCATCCCACTCCCCCAAGCTCTCCCCAACCCTCCCCTTCTCTCTTCTCTCTCCCTCTCTCCCCTTCCCTCCATCCCACCCTCATTCCCATGCTCCCAACTTTTGCTTGGCGATCTTGTCTGCTTCCAATTTCTAGGAGGATCTATATATGTTTTTCTTTGGGTTCACCTTATTACTTTGTTTCTCTGGGATCATGAACTATAGGCTCAATGTCCTTTGTTTATGGCTAGAATCCACTGATGAGCGAGAACATACCATATTCATATTTTTGAGTCTGGGTTATCTCACTCAGGATAGTGTTTTCTACTTCCATCCATTTGCATGCAAAATTTAAGATGTCATTGTTTTTTTTACCGCTGAGTAATACTCTAATGTGTATATGTGCCACACCTTCTTTATCCATTCTTCCGTTGGGGGGCATGTTGTTTCCAGGTTCTGGCTATTACAAATAATGCTGCTATGAACATAGTTGAACAAATGCTTTTGTAGTATGATTGGGCATCTTTTGCATATATTCCCAAGAGTAATATTGCTAGATCCTGAGGTATGTTGACTCCCAATTTTCTGAGAAACTGCCACACTGATTTCCAAAGTGGTTGCACAAGTTTGCATTCCTATTCCCCTTACTCCACATCCTCTCCAGCATAAGCTTTTAATTTTAGCTATTCTGACAGGTGTAAGATAGTATCTCAGAGTTGTTTTGATTTGCATTTCCCTGATCACTAAGGAAGTTGAACATGTCCTTAAATATCTTTTGGCCATTTGAAATTCTTCTATTGAGAATTCTCTGCTTAGTTCAGTACCCCATTTTTTAATTGGGCTATTTAGAATTTTAAGGTTTAGCTTCTTGAGTTCTTTATATTTTGGAGATCAGACCTTTGTCTGATGTGGGGTTGGTGAAGATTTTCTCCCATTCAGTAGAGGTTGCCTTTTTGTCTTAATGACTGTGTTCTTTGCTTTACAAAGAAAAAAGCATCTCAGTTTCAGGAGGTCCCATTTATTCATTGTTGCTCTTATTGTCTGTGCTACTGGGGTTATATGTAGGAAGTTATCTCCTGTGCTCATGCGTTGCAGGCTACTGCCCACTTTCTCTTCTATCAGGTTCAGTGTGGTCAGATTTATTTATTTATTTTTATTTATTTATTTTTTTTTGGTTTTTCAAGACAGGGTTTCTCTGTGGTTTTGGAGCCTGTCCTGGAACTAGCTCTTGTAGACCAGGCTGGTCTCGAACTCACAGAGATCCGCCTGCCTCTGCCTCCCAAGTGCTGGGATTAAAGGCATGCGCCAACACCACCCGGCTAATGTGGTCAGATTTATATTGAAGTCTTTAATCCATTTGGACTTGAGTTTTGTGCATGGTGATAGATATGAATCTATTTTCATTACTTCATGAAATCTTAAGGAATCCGTTGTTCAATTTTTTCTGTGTCCGTGGTGTTGGAGGGAGGTTACTTGTTGATTCTTGGCCGCCCAGCCAGCTTAGACCTGAAATAATCACACAGAAACTATATTACTTAAATCACTGTGTGGTCCTTTAGCTCTAGCTTCTTATTGGCTAGCTCTTACATATTAATTTAACCCATTTCTATTAATCTGTGTATTGCCACATGGCTGTGGCTCACTGGCTAAAGTTTTGGCATGTCTGACTCTGGCAGCGGCTCCATGGCTTCTCCCTAACTATGCCCTTCTTTCTCTCAGCATTCAGTTCTGTCTTCCCCGCCTACCTAAATTCTGCCCTGCTATAGGTCCAAAGCAGTTTCTTTATTCATTAGTGGTAATCACAGCATACTGAGGGAAATCCCACATCACCTTGGGAAACTATTTGGGGAATTTTTTTTTTTTCCCGAGACACTGTTTCTCTGTGTATCTGGCTGTCCTAGAATTCACTCTGTAGACCAGGCTGGCCTTGAACTCAGAGATCCACCTGCCTCTGCCTCCTGAATACTGGGATTAAAGGCATGTGCCACCACTGCCCAGGGAAACCGTTGTGTAGCATACAAGAGAGATATCCACTGAGTTTCTCCATGGACCATCATTGGGAAATACAAATGGACAAGACTGTGTCAACTGTCACATTCCGTATTCTTTGCTGGAGCTATGTTCATCACCTAGTCAGAGAGATCCTTGTCCACAGAGCATCCAGAACTGTGCAGCAGCACAGATACAGGACCGCCAGACTCCTTGGATGCAGGCATGGGAGCTAAGAAGCCCCGTGACAAGGAGCCAGGACCTTCTGGACAGTTTTATGAGTAACAGCAGAGACAGGAGGCGTTTAGACACTGAGCTCAGAGCTACAGCAATGCTGTAGTATTCCCGTCAGGCATTTCCTGTGATTGTAGCAGCCCTTCCTGTCTTGGTATGTTTATCTGCCAGGACTCATTCTTCTCTTGAATAGCGTGGCCTGGGAACAAAGCTCTCATCTCATGCAGAAGGGAAAGGGTTTTACCAGCCTTTGCTTTTCCACAGATTTCCAGGCTCTCAACTTCTTTAACCAGTTGAATCTAATCTAGTGGCTGCTTACCATAGCCCCTTTTCCATAGTTCATCAGGAGTCATCTTTGTAGAATAACGAATATCTTGATACCCAGATAACTCCCCCTTTGCCTTTGAGATGAAGTCCTTTCTTTGCTGGGCTTCCCCTCCCCTTCTCCTGTTGTTTGCTTTTGAAGCAGGCCCTCACTGTGTAGCTCTGACCGCCCTTCACCTTTTACGATATCCCTGCCTCAGCCTCCACAGTGCAGGGATTATAAGCATGAGCATTAGATTCCTAGACTACAGAGTCTATTCTGCTTTCCCTTTGCAAATCTCTCTGGGCTTAGTTTTTATACTCCACACTTCAGCCCATACTGAAAACAAGTATGCTTTTCTAGTTAGCACATTCTGTCCTTTCTTAGTTGTACCTACCTTCCCCAAACTTTCCTTCCTTCACATGTTAATTGTGTGTGGCTTCATTGAAGAGTTACACTGCCCTGTGTACTATGCATTCTGCACTCTTAACCAGATTTTAGCATAGTCTGATGATTCCTTGTTGTCATTATTAGAGTTCTACTTCCTCTCTTCCTGATAATGTTTCTGCAGTGCTTCCTTCCTTCCTTAGAGTGGTTCTTACCATCAGCACACAATTCTCCCAGATCCCATCCAGAACTACCACCTCACTGGTTTTCCTTCCCACACCAGCATTTTCAGAAGTGTTGTGTGAATTTACTCTTTTCCCTCTCGAGTCACACTCTGTGTCTAGCTTAGTGTCCCCATGACTCTGCTGTTTCTCAGTCTTTGCCTTCATGGTTGCTCATCCAGCAGACTCTGAGGCTACTTTTTGATTCTATCAGATACCCTTTCCTTCTGTTTCTTCCTTCCCTTAACCCTTGTTGGGTGGCTCTCTGCTCTACTCGCTGGTGTAAGCGTGAATCTGCTTTTCATCTGTTGTTCTCCTGTACTAGTCCTTGTTGGTCTCACTCAGCATCTATGGCTTAAAGGGCTCCCTGTTACTATGGGTCTCAAATTTTGCATACTGACTTTCCTCTTAACTCCAGACTTTGGTTGTCATCTAATTACTTTGTATCTCCCTTGGGTGTCTTATATTTGCTTCTGAGTTCTGGACATTCCTTCTAACCTGCTACTTTTATCTTATTATTCATCTCTGTTTATGCTGTTGCCATTCACTTAGTTTGGACCATACGCTTTTAAAATGTCTTCAAATTGTGTGCATGCACACGCATGTGTTCGTAATCTATGTGGATATCTGTTGGCAAATTCTGAAACTTTTCTGAGAGGGTATATTAGTCAGCCTTTCTTCTCATCTTTGTTACTACCACCCACATCTAAATTTCTCTTTCCTGTAGTTATTTTTTCCCTGGTGCTTCCTGGAACTGGTGGCTTCAACATTAAATTTATGTTATCACAGTCTGTAGACTAGAAGTCTAAGAGCAAGGTAGAAGAAGGATTAATTTATTCTAAGGCCTCTGTCCTTGGCTAGCAGAAGGTCACCTTTTTACTGTGCCCTTGCATGATTTTTCCCTTGTATGTGTCTCTGTTGTAATTTTGTATTGCAGTAGTAAGTCATGGTAGACTATGTCCTATACCCAGCCTGATTTGAATTTAATTGCCTCTTAAGGGCCCTTTTCCCCTAGGTTCCCATTCTGAGGTCTTATGAGTTTGTGGGTGATACAGTTTAGTGCATTTCAGCCTCCTTTCATTTTCCTGTGTTTAGCAGATTAATTTAGGTGATGCCATGTCTCTGCTTAGAAGTGAAGATTTTCCACCACTTGCAGAATAGAGCACAGAGTCCTTTCCATGGCCTACCAGGTTTTCCATGACATCACCTGCTACACTGCTTCCCCCACCACATCTCCCTGTCTCTCCACACATTGCAAGCTCAGTTGCCTAGCAGGGAAAGAGGATTTTATACTTGTTCCTTCTTCTGCCTGGAATGCTGTTTCCTTTAGTATCTGCATACTCTTCTTTGTTCTTCATAATAAACTCAATTGTTGTTAGTCTTTCCTCTGTGTGTAATTCTGTGTAAGACAGCAACCCTTCAACTCTCTCTCTTCTGTCCCCTTTCTTACTCTTCACAGCACTCACTGCCACCTGATTGTATGTGCCATGCATTCCATACCATGTGAATGCAGAGGACACAGATGACATACTTCCTTTTGTATATTGTTTAAGTGTCATCTTCTCATACTAGTATGTGCATACACATGACATTCATTCTTACATCAGCCCATATGTGGGTTTTGTGAGTGTGTGTAGTCTTTCCTGTAAGGACAGGAACTTTACCAATTGTGTTTATGCTGGCATCTTTATGATTTAGAGTAAGCATCATTTTACGTATGACAGATGTCCCGTTTCCTCTGCTGTATAAACAATACTGTTTATCAGTATTTATTGAATGAATAAATATTTTCTTGAAGAGCTGATGTATAGACTTGCAATACAGTTTTATGTTATCTGACTTTTAATAAAAGATTTCACTGATACAGGAAATTCAAGTGATCTCTCATTGTTAGAACAGTAGAATTCTAAGATATTATAGTTTAGAAGTTTTAAAAGTATTTTAAACAGGCTCTTAAGAATTAAAATGCTTTTTGTATTGTGACATGTTAATGACTTTTAATGTATTCATTTTAATTTCTTATTGTATTTCTAATAAATGGTAAAATGAAAATATTGAAATTTGCTTTATTTTCTATATATTATTGATTAGTGAAAATGAGTTTTAGGTCTTTCGATGCCATAGTAGCTTTACTATTTTCCAGGATATTGGCATTCCTTTTATAACCAAGCTTTAACATTGAGAAAGCATTCCTTGAACACCAGTTACATATCAGATACTGTAATTCCATTGGCTCTAATGGTACTAAATCTAGAAAGATAAAGGTGTAGTCATGTCAGAAAAAAATCTTAAGAGTTCTACAAAGCCTTTCTTTTCTGATTTTTACCTTAGCAGCAAATTTCTGGTGAAGATGAAATAGAGTGTTCTGATAAAGATGAGCCTGACATTGATGGAGATGTGTCCAGTGACTGCCCTACTGTCCGTGTTCCGCTGACGTCTCTCAAAAGCCATCAGGGTGTGGTTATTGCTGCTGACTGGCTGGTTGGTGGGAAGCAAGTGGTGACAGCCTCATGGGACAGAACTGCCAACCTGTATGATGTGGAGACATCTGAACTTGTTCATTCTCTCACAGGTACCTTGCCGTGAACATCTGAAACTCTTCCTAGCTGGGCTGTTTTTATGTCTAAGCTTATAGATTACTTACAGGCCAGGATTATGTTTAGTGCTATTGGCTATTTGGTTGCCATTTTTGGAGATCCTTTCTGATTAATAGAACTCTTTGTAGCTAAATTTATTTTATCTTCAGGAGATTAATTGTAGCATATAGTATTTTAATATTTGAAATACGGTTGCTGTATTGGTTTTCTGTTTCTCTTTGACTCTTTTTTTCTCTCTCTCTCTTTTTTTTTTTTTTTTTTAAAAAAAACACACTTAAATAACAGGAATCTATTACCTTGATGGTTTCCTTGTCAGCTTTTCTATGTCCTGGGTAGCTGCTCCTCAACTGTGAGGGTCTGCTTGGTTGAAGTGAAGGTGTGGCTTGGGCAGGACCTCTGGAATTTGTAGTCTTCTGTGCTCACTGGTTGCTGTAAAAATTCATCCAGTTTCTTGTAGCTATGTGACTGGGCTGTACAGTCTTAGTAGGGGTCAGTTTGGGTCTGTCCTGAGCATCCAGGGCTCCCACCAAAAGTCCCTTCCCACATAGCAGGTTGCTGGCTTCCAAGCCAGCAGGAGTATGCCTCTGTTGCCCTGGATTCTCTAGCTTCTGGGAGGACCTTGGCCCTTTGAATGGTTCCAGCTGTTTAGGCCAGGCCATTAAGGACAGCCTTTCTTCGATTAACACAAAGATGATTGATTTAGAGACCTTAATTACATATGTGGAATTCTCTCTGGTCTTTTGTATACCCCATTTATAGAAAGATATTTTTATAGGCTCTGTCTAAATTCAAGACAGGATGTTGTCCTAAGGGCCCACAAACTATACCATTAGAAGTTATTCTTGTTGTGTTCAGCCTGTTAAAGTGATTTTTCTGACCCTCTAACTGTTAAGACAAGAAATTGAGTTATGGTGTATCTAGTTCCTTATTCTTTTTTTTTTTTTTTTATGTGGATAGCTGAAATGACTTCAGGCGTCTGAGGGGACAAGCTTCCTCCCATACTACTAAGTAATCCCTTAAGGTTTACTTTTCCCCTCAGCTATTAGTTTTGTCTGTAAAGATGATGGATACTTTTGGTTCTTGTGTTTTTAAAAAAGCTTCACTTTAATTGTGTGTCTGCAGGTGGATGACCTTGTATTTTTGTTGTATTTGGTTGTAGGGCATGACCAGGAGTTAACACACTGTTGCACTCACCCCACCCAGCGGCTCGTGGTGACCTCTTCCCGTGACACAACTTTCCGTCTTTGGGATTTCAGGGACCCTTCCATCCACTCCGTGAATGTTTTCCAAGGACACACGGAGTGAGTTGCAGTTGTTTAGAGATCTTAACTGTCTATGAAAAAAAGTGTTATAGGTTATCATTGAAACTAAGTCTAATCTTAATTTCTACTGTTTGACACTTAGCTCTTTTTCACAATGATGACTCTTTCTCTAAACATTTTGGTATGTCTTTCAAAAGATATAGAATACTAAGAAGGCTCTGATGGGTTTAAGAGATTGAATGGGATAGAGTCTGTCAGGGACTGGGAATGGGTAGCTTAGTAAAGGGAGAATAGAGAAGCACTCCAGGCATGAATAGTGAGAGCATAATCCTATTATCCACCAAGAGGCCTGATTTACTGTCTGCAACTACTCACAAATTATTGTAATATGTCTTTTTAAGATTAATTGATTAGCAGATTAGACTAATTTAGATTAGCAAACAAAGTATTGGGTTTAATAATAGCATCATCATACCCATGTGTCAATTATACTCTGTTCTCAACTCTTCCTCTTTCCTTATCTGGTTCCCTTTCTTCTCCCAGTTTGCCTGCTGTCTTAGGGTTTCTCTTGCTATGAAGACACATCATGACCACGGCTGTAGTAATGGGGGCGGCGGGGCTGCGTTCCCAGCACCCCGGCCGCCTGCTTGGCTAGCTTATGCCCCAAAATAATTACACAGACACTGTATTCTTTTAAGCACTGCTTGGCCCTTTAGCTCTAGCACTTACAGGCTAATTCTCACATCCCGATCAACCCATCTCTAATAATCTGTGAGAACCGGTCTTACCGGGAAGATTCTAGCCTAGTCCATCCTGGGTCGGATGCCGGGAGCGGGGCATGGCGTCTCTCTCAGGCGTCTGCTCCCTAGAGGAGAGCTGTCAAGTCTCTGAGCTCACTTCCTCTTCCTCCCAGCATTTTGTTCTGTTTACTCCTCCCACCTATCCTCTAACCAATAAAATGGGCCAGGGCAGTGCCTTTATTAGCCAATGACCTTCCTCCATCACACGGCAACTCTTATAAAGTAAAGCATTTAATTGGGGCTGGCTTACAGTTCAGAGGTTTAGTCCATTATTATTATCATGGTAGGAAGCAAGATGTCAAGTAGGCAGACATGGTCCTGGAGAAGGAGCTGACAGCTCAACATTTGTACCTGAAGATAGCAGAAGAGACTTGTTACACTTGGCATGGCTTGAGCATATAGAGACATCAAAGCCCACTTCCACAGTGGCACACTTCCTCCAACAAGTCCTCACCTACTCCAACAAGGCCACACCTCTTAATAGTGCCACTCCTTATAGGTTAGGCATTCAAACACATTAATGGGGGCCATACCTATTCAAACCACCACACTCTTCTTCTGCCTTTTTTTATACACATTCCACTAGTCTCTCTCTTTTCTACCTCCTTTATGATCTACTTCCCAGCCTCTCATGGCTCCTTTTTAGTTTTGTGACTCCCTAATATATAGATAAACCCGTGTTTTGTTTTGTTTTTTTGAGACAGGGCTTCTCTAGCTATGAAGCCAGTCCTGGAACTAGTTCTTGTAGACCAAGCTGGCCTTGAACTCACAGAGATCCACCTGCCTCTGCCTCCTGAGTGCTGGGATTAAAGGCAAGTGCCACCACTGCTCCTGGCTTGTGTTGTATCTTTTAAAGGTTTTGTTATTATGTGTATTTGCAGGGCATACACTAGGAGTAGGTTTTTTTCTGTTTGTGTATATACACACACACGGATTATGAGTCTAGTGTGTGTCCCTCTCTGCTTGAATTTTATCAAAAAGTTTAGCATGAGACTATCTTAACAGAGCTCTTCCACAAACATACTTTTTGGTCTTTTCAATAAGCAAGGAGATTGTGTATCTAGTTTCTCACAACACAGATTAAGGTAGTGTCTGTCATGTCTCTTCCTGGAAAGGTATGTTTTCTAGTTTGGAGTTACTAAGGTGACACTTTGAGATTAGTGATTTTCTTATTCCCCAGCAGCCTTCCATCATTGATGATCCCTGCCAACTTAGACAGTACAAGAGTGTTGCAAAAGGGTGTGGTTTCTAATTCTGCTATTTTCATCTTAACTAGCTAGCCCTTTTGAGAATAAGCAGATTTCTGGTTATGCTTGTCATTTTGATAGTCCTTTGTTGTCATTTTAATTTTGGCTCTTGGTACCACTGAACCTTCCAGTTGTCCTCTAGTCTCTAGACATTGCTATCATTTTTCTACAATAGGATGATGTGCTAGGCTGGAAAATAGCACTGGCATCTCCCCCAGTTGGTTCTGCTAACCTGTACTGGAGCAAGCAAAATATCAGATTTGAGTTGGGCCAAGAAGAACGTTTTGTTTTCAAGAGCTAGCAGCTATACTTATGATAAGTTAGAGTAAATGTGGTCATAGGCAGACCAGCTGCTTGTCCTTATCATGTTTGCAAGGATAGAATGGATTTTGTGGGGGAACTGATGAAGGCTGGAGCATTGTGTCTGAATAAGGACAGATGGCCAGGGTTTTATAAGTCCTTCGTGTGCCTGGCCAGGTGTAGTTCTGATTCTACAGGTTGGATGTGAAGTTCCCAGATTGGTCAGGCATCGTCTCTATTCCAGAGATGCTATTCCATGAGCAAGCCAGGTGGCTGCCTGGTTTCAGTGGAGTTTAATTTCTAAGGGAGTGATCAAGTATAGCTTCTCCTGGTCTCCAGCTTGCCTTGTGGTGGCATTTTAAGACTTAAAATTGGCACTCTGGTTGTTTGAAATTTTTTTATTTATGTTTCGTGCTTTGAGAGAATATATTTGCTGATGGAGATGCATGTTACAGCTTTTAAGGATGTTTCAATGATGGGGTATTGCTAATTTCTATCCCTTTAGCTGTAAAGTGTAGTGAATGCTAATGTTTGAAATGTATAATTAGGGATACATTTTTTTGCAGCTGGCTATTACATGAAACAACAGTTGTTTTAGAAATATGAGGAACATAACTAGTTGTGACCCCCCACACCCCCGGTACACCCTCTTTTGGGTAGTAAGGTCTTGCTATATAGCTGTGGTTCTCCCAAGTGCTGAGGTTAAAGGCATGTGCTACACATTTGACCTAAGGAGCCCCCCCCCCCCTTGTTTTATTAGGTAGGGTTTTTCTGTGTATCTTTGGCCATCCTGGAACTCGCTTGGTAGACCAGATTGGCCTCAAATTCAAGAGATTCGCCTGACTCTGCCTCCCAAGTGCTGGGATTAAAGGCGTTCATCACTATGCCCACTGGAGCTCTTATTTTTAATGTAGGCCAAGGAATATTTAAAAGGTTGGCCCCTCCCCATGTTTGAGACAGTGTTTCTCTACATATCTCTGACTGTCTCTGAATTTACTGTATAGACCAGACTGGATTCAAATTCAAAGATCTGCCAGCTTTTGCTGAGTGCTTTTGTTTTTAAAATAGGTACCAAGAGTAGGCTTACACTAAAAGCATCTAATTCACATGAACTCTCTCTCCTACCCAGCTTTTCCAAGATGTAAGATAGTTGTTAGATTGCCTTTAACCACAGGGTCAGTAAAAGTTTTAATGAGAGTAAAATACATGAGTCAGGCTTATTCTTGCCCAGATTATTTACATTTTCTCTTTTCTTAATTGATTAGTCATGAACTAGCATATTGCATTGATGTGTATATCTAAAAAGCATTGAAATGTTTTTGTTTGATCCTAATTTCCTTGCTCTGTCAAAAAGGATAAATTTTAATTTTCACAGGCCTTTCTGAATTGGCAGGAGTCAGCTGGATTCTTCTGCTTCTGAATTTTGTGTCGTTAGCTCAGTGGTCAAGAGCATTGACTACTTTTTAGAGAGAGGACCCAAGTTTGATTTCTAGCACCCACATAAGCCACAACAGTCTGTAATTCTAGTTCTGGGGGATCCAAAGCCCTCTTCTGGCCTCCTCATGCACCAGGCACACAAGTGATACACAGACACATGTGCAGAAAAAACACCCATACACATAAAAAAATTTAAAAGAAAAAGAATTCTTTAAAAAAAAATGGCTGATCTTAAAAAGTTCTTTCTGGCCTTTCTTGTGTAGGTTTAGGACTTGGTCAGCAGATGGAGCTGTAGATATCTTTACTGAACACAAAATATTTCTAATAATGATCAGCAGTAAGTCTTTAGAAACACTTCACATTTAGAAAAACAGGAAATGAGACATCTCATATGTTTTTATCTGAGAATCTTCATTGTGACTGTTGCCTTTTACCTTTGTCATGGATTCTGAGAAATTGAGCCCATATGACTAAATAGCAGGTAGCAAATACATACATATAGCTGAACATCTGTGATCCCTAAAGGGCACACTTTTATTAAAAGCAAACTTAGTTTAATTCCCCATTAAGAGCAGAAGGATAGTCAGTGTCTGCAGCGTGTGATTAGTTTGCTGTTCTGAATGTGACATAAGAAAATAAGCCCTGGCTCTCCTCCTTTATCACTCTGGCAGGGTCCGACTCTGCAGGCTACAGGATCTTCTGCAGTAGACTGAAACCTTCCTGGATGGTCTGTTTTATCACGTACACGTCCCATGCATTCCACCTAGCACCCTCTGAATGAGGACTTGGAAAGGGTTTTTAGAAGCAAAGATGATTTTCTGGATTCTTCACTATTCTTTTCCTGAATGCTACAATACAAAAAAGTCAAATTCTCCACTTTTATGTTTAATGTTTTTACTGGTGTATCTCTAAAAAATTCTCAGCTGTTAACATTAGAGACGGGGACGGGGAGATACACTGAAAAACGCTGTCTCAAAAAAACCAAAAAGAAGAAAGAAAGTTGTATTGTAGTTCAAGTTTTCATTTATGAGAACTCAGCATAGTTCTTTTTTTTTTTCCTTTTTTTTTCTTTTTTTTGAGACAGAGTTTCTCTTTGTTGCTCTGGCTGTCTTGGAACTCTGTAGACTGTACTGGCATCGATCTATCCGTCTGCCTCTGCCAACCCAAGTGCTGGGATTAAAGGTGTGTGACACCACGCCTGGCTCTACATAAATTCTTTAGTTAAAGAACCAGTGTCTCTAGTGTGAACAGTTGA